CACAAAAAATGAATTACTTGGCGGGCAAGACAAAAATAGTGCAGACCTCAGGAAAGTGAGGAAAAATCCTTTAATTTTACTCAATGATGGGATTTGTTTTTCGTTAACAACAAATACCTACTTCACTTAGCATTTTTGGATCGCTAAAAATGGTTGATTTGTTGGCAAACAATGCAACATTGGAAATAAACGTTAACCTACAGATACTACGCTTTACTCACGTTCGCTCGCTGTTTTTCAGCTATGCCACAAAGCKGCGTAATTTCATTTCCGTCATAGAAGTCCCTTTAAAACAATCCATAGCCACAGAAATTTTAAGAAATCGGCCAAGTTTCCTTCGCGATTGGACGCTATTGTAGTAAAGATAAAACGCAGAGCCCAAGGCGCCTTCCTTGGCGAAAGTGGTGCCTTAGATTCGAACAGTACAACCACAAACACAAGGATAGGAAACAAGTCGAAATATGACAAAAAGATTGGCCTAAAATGATATCCGTCAACATTTGTCGGACTCCTAAACTTTTTGGCAATGATTAAAGATGAGGTACTATAGCAATAATTTGTGTTTGTGTAGCTATATTAGTGACTTTTCGGACTCTGGTCGGAAAACACCGGTCAACTGTGTAACATGCAAATATTTGACCCATCATGTCGAATAAGTAGTCAGTGGAGCTTGTTACAGTAAACTTATAAAGCTAGTTTAGTTAGTATCGACTGCTACCATTTTTGTTTGCCAGAGGCAAAAATACAAAACAGTTGTAATCGAAATTATCGAAACTATTTCCTGACAGTAAAATTAAATGTAACGAAGACAATTTGAAAAAAAGAACTTAGTGATGTTGTTGCTGAAGGAAAACAAAAAGATGATTCTAAAACAAACTTTTAAACATGATAGTTTACCTTTGGAATTTTTTCCAATTCTTATTCTTCAACTATCACAAATAACTTTAGTCCTATTCTTAGCTACATCACAGAGTAAAGTAATAAGTTTTCATTCTATTTGTTTGCTAGGGGAAGTAAGAATTTGATATTTTTTCCTAGTTCAATGAGAATAGGATTGCCTCAGGGCTAGCCTGCTGAATTTCCCGCGCAAATTTAGCAGATTGAAAACTAAGCTGACTTTTCTTTGCAAAGTACAAATTTTATATTTACTGGTAACTGCAAAATGATTGGTATTGCGATCGGAAATTCTTTGCTTATCTGTAGTGGCTTGCTGACAGCCGACACGGGTAGGGTGTTAAAGCCCATCTCAAACCCTCCCATACTCGTGCATGCATTTCTATATTTCCTGCAGATATTCTTCTTTACTTCCTTCCTGGCGAGCTAGAAACTAAAACCTGCCATCCTAAAATACACTCCAACATGAAACACATGTCCCTACTCAATGACGTACAGAAATTAATGTTTTTACAGGGAAAACTACCCTGTTAAATTAAGTTACAAAGAAAATAAGAAAGGTTTCTCTAATGCGAGCTGGGTGGTCCACTGGTGTTTGTCTTTTAAAAATACTATCTCCGTAGGCACGCGTGTCTTTGTACGCTCAACCCAGAGCCTAGGAAAWAGTTTAATAAGACTTTTCCACACATTGACAAAGTTTGAATCAATTAGGGGACATAAAARTTGTGATTCATGAGTTTGATTGGAAAGGCAAGGTCAATATTCATGGCGGAAGACTAGGTAAAGTCTTTCTGGCGCTGTTCGAGCGTTCGGCTAAGTTGTTGAAAGCCAACGGGGTTTAGCATTTCAAACATGATGGTTCAGTACACTTTACAGTCTTAAAGTAAATGAAGGCAAACATGAGGTTACGATAAGATCTAAAAGAAAAGCGACAGGGGCGATTTTTCACTGACTAGGTTACAAATCATAGCAAGTATTTCTTAGGTTCATAGATTCTCATCTCTCTCAATAAAAACCGATCCATGACTCATTATTGCTGGAAAAGATTTGAGTGAAAATTACTGAGGATTTGTTGTTGTGYGATAGGTGAAACACAAATTATTGACGTGAGTCTCGCTCGTCGGAAGATAAAGATAACAGAGAAAGAAAGGCTGATTTTTATCTTGAAAGGTCTATGAAATTGGCCGGTCATGCTTTCCGGTGGACGAATCGAGTTCAATTGAATACTAGAAAAACACAATGAGTTATTTGGCCGCATCTTGAGTGCATTTAGATCTCTGTGCAATAAAACWCATAATACACAAGATAAAATTTTACGTGATCTTCCGACTCTGATATCTGTTTTGGTTATCAGTACACCAAAACACTTACATGCGGGGGACGCCGAGAGAAACCTACGTGCGCCACTATCCCTTCCTCCAAATATTTCAAAAAATAAAAAAAATKTCAAATCATATATAATTTACTATCGCCTAATAATTAAAGCAACGATGATAAAGATATATATAGTATATGTTAGTAATCATATATCTTCTCTAAAAATAGTCGAGKTACAGAAAAGGAAAAAAAAATTAACAGCTAACCTTAAAGGGAGTTGCAGGAGTCCCCTACGGCAATACGACAACTTGTATCAAATTTTGTAAATAGGTYGTATTTTTGTGCTTTTGTTCTAATATCTTCTATATACTCGATAAATAAAACTAGAGGATATCAGAAAAGGCGGGTAAAGTTATATTTTCACAGGAACCTTTCTTATGCGTGAGAGTGCCTAAGATGTCTGACTCAGAATTCTAATTTGCGTAGTTCCAATTATAGTTCGTGTACACTAACAGCCATCATACAAAAGCCGTATTGTGCTGTCCAATCTACAAGCGGACACAAGTTACAATTCCGACTTCTTTAAAATCCGATTGAATTCTTTTCAAACCAACGCAAAATGCCGCCACAACCAACGTTAAAGTCAAATGTAAAGGCAATTCATTAAAGACAAGTTGGAAGCCGGTATCTTTTGATATATGAGTGTGCGAGCGGTGATTTTCAATGACCGAGTTTCACAGAGACTTGAGAATTTCGTTGTGAAAACCGGCAGCATTCTAAATTCGGCGTCTCAAAACTGAGCCATTCATTCAAAGTATAATCTTTTCAGTTTTTCTAAAATCACAGTATCCCTGTGAAATTCCAAGCCTCAAGTTCTCCGTCCTAATTGATAAAAGGCTTATAAAAAACAATGAATGCTAAAATCTCTTTTTCCGGAGCGACTTAGAAGCTAGGCTACGCCGAGACGCGATGTGATAACTAGCTTACAGTTTAATGACTCTTGAACTTAACTTAGACACAGCGGGGACTCTTGAAGAGAGAAACTCGCTACACTGAGTAATCGAGCTATACCACATCCATTACATTACAGATACAGTGCTCTTACAGACAAAAGGYCTCTTACATGTGATACTTTAAGCAAAACCTATGTGTTACTTTTATAATCCCGGCTTCATTTCTTGTGGCACATGCCATGATTGAAGATCTCAGATTTCTATGGTTAGAACTTCTGTTCAACAGTTTAATAGTGGTTAAATCATATCCTAAAACATTCAGTTATTGGTTTTCCTTCTCAGGAAAGGGCTTTGTTTTATTAAATTAACGACATGGCTTCCTTTGTGAGGCTGCTTTTCAACTCTTTAGAAATCTCCAATRTACGACCACATTCAAACAACGTTTTCTTCTGGGCTTACTAGAAATCACGATCTCTCACAAAAGCTCTGCTTGTTAGTGTTACGCTACCTAGYTATCAAGTTTTACGATTTAGTTACCTGTAATCCACTTACAGTACGTTATTCCTTAGCGAATAAACCAAGAACAAACCACAACAAAACTTACCAACAGGAAAAAATGCATGAGTCCTGACCGACAAATCCCGTAATGAACCGATTCATGAACCKATAGAAGCGTGCAAGAGTGTGAAGTAAACGCTTACCGCTTTGGCTTCTTTCAAAGAAATCCACCGCCTTCTGCTAGCCGACAATAAGCAAGGCGGCTAAATGGTTTCTAAAGAAGTGTGAAGGCTAGTTAAGAATTGAATACCTTATGTTGTACGGCAACACCATACTAACAAGTCAATCCGTTCGACGCCGTGCTTTCTGTTGTTGAGCGGCTCCCTCTGTCACAGAGCTGGACGCATGGACAACTATAACACTAAAAAACGGTCTCCCATAATTTCCTATCGACCACTGAGAGTGTATTCCTTCTAGGCGAGTTCACTGTGTACATTACCGTGTTTGTACTAACAGTTCGACTGCCCGATTTTAAGAAATTTGATCTCTTCTATAGTTTAGCACTTTTCCAAACACAGGTTGCAAAGTTTGCTGAAGACTATGTTTGTGACTGCTTTACTTGTTGATATGAAAATGGTTGTTTGTAATGGGTAATCCTAAATGATGAACCAAACTTGTTAGCGGCTCAAATATGTGAACTAAGAGTAAGAAAATAAATAAGAATAAAGTTGTTGCTCTTGATTTGGCGTTACACTTTTCATCACTTGGACAGGGGATTTTTTAAAAGCATTGTAACATCAGGGTCACCAAATCTAAACTAGTGCATGTCACAGGGGGAATATGGGAGACTTAAGCAAGGCCGCAGGGAAAAAAAAAAAAAAATGAGGAGTAAAAACTGGGCGGTAAATTGAAGTAAACTCTATTAAGATCAATAAGCGTTGAGAGAAGAGTTTATGAGAGGTTGCCGCCTTCAAGTTGTGAGGCCGTTTCACACTTTGGTTTTTCAAGATGCGTGCGGCACTTTTGCGCGGTGAAATAAACGTCGCGTAACAAAGTCTAGATAGGTTTGCTCCTTGGTGACTAAACGGCTCAGTTTGCTGTCCACACCATGCGTACAATTTGCGTCCTTGTTTGTCGAAAGTATTTATAAGTAATATCGATGAAGTGATTACTTTAATTATAAGCGCCTGCAGTTCTTAATGTGGTTGGCTCCCCTCTCGGTGACCACTCAAAACTAATGCGCTTACTAACTCCTGTTTGTCAGCGCTTTTGGCTCTAAAACACGCTCCTTTCAGCCGAATTGCCCTAATCAACAGTGTGGAGAGAATGACAACAATATTGATTCGTTATAAATTTATTTCTCTTGAACTAACAAACAGCTATTTGGGCAATGACTGCAAATTTACAAAAACCTCTCCCTAGACTAATATAAATAAAAGTAATCGTGTGTTAAATACGGGGTTGACATCAAAACAAATCTAACCAAACTTGGTCACTCTCGCATGTATTCGATGTATGGAATGACTGGTTTACTGACTGTGATAAAATATGGTCTAATCTGCCCGGCAGTTAGATACCCAACAATATATCAACCTTAACATAAAATATACTTACTACCTACTTCGATTTCTTGAACATTAACTATAAATCATTTCTTGTTGATTCAATTTGAAAATATTTTGATTTACGAAGATTCATTTTCTTCAAAATACTCTATAATCAATGTAAAACTTGTTTTTTGTATTTTATCGATATAGTTCCTATTTTACAATATTAATTTGATTTGGTTTCTTCATTTGTGTACGTTATTTTATGYGGTTTATGATGAACTAGAGCTTTCAATTTAGCTCTCGTGTTTTAAAGTAGATCAACATGTAATCATAATAAAGTTTCAAGCAACATGTACATAATAAAATACGTTCGCGTAACTTATTTCTCCAGTGCATTATTATATATACATCAAGTCTCGTAGTGTCTGTAATACATATATATTCTTGCATCCACGCTTGGCAAGGTCACATCATTTKAAAAGTTATCTAGTAAGTTCACGAAAGGTTAGAAATACCAGATATTCCTGTGCAACTCGAAGGAGTAAATACACAACCTTGATAGTATGGATTTGAATCGGTTGATATAGGCTGAGGATCGTACGCTGATTTTGGAAGTCCCATCGATCCCATGGACTGGGATARAGCCGTCGGATGGTAAGGACTGAAGTGCATCGAGTCRTAGCCTCGAAGATCCGCTTCGTGGTCGTTGGCGATGATATTCTTGATGGCAAATGGATGGTTGAAGGATTTATTCATAGCCATCCCCATGCCCATAGTACCCATACTGCTCATTCCGCCCATATGACTCATACCCATGGGTGTCCCGTACGGAGATGGAGACAAATAGCTTGGTGGTGCGAGAGACCGTTGTTGCGATACCTTGGACATGCTCTGTACACTGATAGGATTATGAACCATRCTGCTTACTTTGGTTAGGTGGCTAAGGTCAGGTTTCTTCTCTGCCTTGAAGCGCTTTTGTCTACGTAGGTAGCATCCATTCTCGAACATATTCCCGCAGTCTGGATGAAGTGTCCAGTAGCTGCCTTTTCCTGGTCGGTCAGGAGAGCGCGGGACTTTGACGAAGCAATCATTGAACGACAAACTGTGTCGTATGGAATTCTGCCATCGTTGTTGGTTTTGTCGGTAGTACGGAAACAAGTCCATTATAAACTGGTAGATTTCACTTAGCGTCAGCATCTTGTTGGGGCTCTGTTGAATGGCCATCGTGATAAGTGATATATACGAGTATGGCGGCTTCGCGTGAGTGTAACTACGTCTGTATGCCTTATCCTTTTCTTTGGCTTTCTTCATATCGTGAGGATTTTGTGGATCCTGCATGCCCTGTTGAATTCCACGCTCCATCATCTCCATCTCTARAAGCTCAAGCTCAGTAGATACTTTAGTAGGTTTATACATTCTTGCCACGAAGATTTACTACTAGTAGATGAAACGTTCGTCCTTCCTCGATCGCGAGTAGTGCAGATTACCTCCTAGTAATAAAGAAGTTTTATTTTTAGTGACAGTGCGTCAACAAGCTTACCGTGACAGAAACTTAAGCTCCTCCCTCTCTATTGTAATCAAGGGAAGGGTTTCTTGGGAGTCTAACGTTTGTTTGCATTCAGTCCTTTGTAGCGACCACTGGGGAAACCATTTTATTAAAATTTATCCGGGCCATTATCACATGTCCATCATAGTGGCTTACAAACATATTGCCGTTTCATAATTCATGAGCAAACACAATTATTACGATAGGACTCTTTATGGCTGGGCCCTATCTCCTATCCCTAATGTCAATAGCGCGCAAAGCTTACAAGTTTAGCTTAGTCAAGGGAATATTACCCAAGTTAGATTTTAAAGTGCTGATAAGTCCGTATCACAGGAAGGCTACAGATAGGCCCGATTCGCGTTGCACACTTAACTAGAGCATCTAAAAGCAAACTCATTTAGAGTATGACTTATCGGGTTCTGACGTCAAAGATTGCCCCGCTTCAGTCCACTTTGAAGCACTTTAAGCATTCTTGTGGAACTGCCCTGTAACCCAGCTCTTGTCACTAATATCGGATCGCAATTTGCATCACAAACGTCACCAAAAATAATCACAAACAAAAGCAATTACCGCTGGAAACTCAGTTAGTTTTCTATCCAAAACCTTTCCTTTTCAGGGAACTTTTAAATGTTTATTTCATCAAAATGGAAGCCCCAGAACAAATTGTCGGCCCAAAACGTTATGCACCTGTTGTATTGTCTCTTTATCAGCTCCATTTTAGTAACGACTATGAACGTAATTATTTGTGYATTGTATGTTTATGTCTGAGGTTTGCCACTCTCATTAAGACTTGTACGAAGGGTCGCTCCATCAACGGCCAACAGAAACTTGAAATTCATTTAATATATGTTGGCAAATTGCTGTCACATTCGGCTATCGAAATGTAAAATTGTTTGCTTCGAATATCCTTATTTAACAATCAGCTATTCGGGCCTAGTTCAGCACAATCAATGAACTATTCGMACAGCAACATTTGTCTAAACTATTTCTCCATTTTCGTGAGAAAATATTTGGCGGGATGRATCTAGTCAGCTATATTGGTAGCTATGCACAACAGTTATGCGCGCGCGTGGGATGGAGAACTTGGTACAGAAAATTTGTAGAACCCTTTTTCTCATTTCCGGAAGGTACTGCAATTAATTAACAAATTTGGTTTACGTCAATCACTTCGACAAAGAATATATTCCAGGTGTTTTCATAGACAGCTGTAAGACATTGTCCTTCTACAATGGCAAAAGCCCCAAATTACCCTTGCACATCTAGTTTGAAACTGACTTTTATAGATTGCGCCTTGACTTGGATGATTTCTTTAAAACCCGAGCGAAGACAAAACAACTCTGACTTATTAATTTCAATAATTGTAAGGATCCYTAATCCCTATTGCTCTTTTTCTCCCCTGTCTCTGATATTTGACTGGGGAGAATTAAATTTCCCTTTGATTTGATYCATTTTTTTTCCTTTTCTCTCCCGACCAAGTGAGCAATCACAGGACATATTGACAGACCAACTTATCAGTGGACGACCCGTAAATACGAATTATTTGGCTGTTTGCGATTCGCAGTGTTTAAGCTTTCTACTCTAAATGTTTGCGCTAACGATCGTAAAACAAATGTGAAAACTGTTAAGACAAGTTTTATTGCGCAAAGAAACATTTGAAAAGGGAGCAAGCGGTATGGAGTAGCCCCTATTATGCCTAATTTAACCTATTTACACACAACGGAAAACAGTATACATGTGATGAAAGGAGATTTATTGTAAACTGTTTGCGGCAATTTCTTTTTTATTACCTATCCATGTTCTAAAGAAAATGCCTTTGTCATTGGCACGATCATTAGTACTAAGCTTTGTTTTCCTTTCGCGTACATTCTACAAAGGATTTACCCTAAGACCGTGTAATCAATCTTGCTTGTTGATGCCGGAAAAATCATTTCTTGGGCTTAGCAAGGTTAGAGGAACGATCTTCCTTCGAAAGCGCGATTGCTGTAAATACCCTAACACAACCGGATTCAAATTCCCCTGAGGCAGAAACCTGAAGTGATGTTATTGTTCAAATTATCTGTTAGATGTTTTGCTTTTCTTCTATGTGGTTATTAGTAAAAGGACGCCCCTTTTTTCTTTYAAATCAACTTCATTATCCTTGCCGCCTTCCTTTTGTTTTCCAAGGTTCTATTGTCCAGTAGGAATAAATATTTTGCAGTAGTAAAACCAACATAAACATTAAACTTACTGCAGGCAAGTGTTCTCTTCTCTTCTTCGGGTGTCAACAGGTCGATGAAAAACACTAAGAAATATCCGAGGCTAGGAAACCAAATTAGAAGAAAACTTTCATTTCATATTCTTATTCAGCCAAACACCTGTTTCAGCAGTTGCGTTAATGTGGGATTACTATTTCTCTTTTTATAACACTGTTAATTTACTCTTTCATATTTTAGAACTAGGATACGGCTTAGATCTTAAATAGATTTTGAACAGTTTTCTTTTGGAAACACCTTGGAAATCCTAGGGCATCACTCGTTAGTTGGTGCCTAAATGACTATTACTGGTATAGCCTTGGGGAAATAGTTCCTGAATAGATAGAAATTTRAGTCATTTTTTGTGGCACGATTTAGTCCAGGGAAAAGAAAGAAAAGAAAAGTCTCGTTGATCGAAGCGGAGCACATATTGACGCTAGTTGTATTCTCAAATCAATAGGTTCAATACACTCTTCGTAGGTGTGTATCTGCCTTTTACCTCTCATGCGAATAAAATCTGCAAATAAATATCTTAATCAACTTTCATAGCATTTGACTAAATATTTCCTTCGAGTATTTACTAAAACACTGAGTCATGAAACCTTAAAAAAGCGCCAGTCCACTTATGAATCCCTCAGAAAATTTCTTGGCAGAACACTTTGTCAGTAGGCCAGGCCAAGTAAGAATTAAGACAACATCTTATTCGAAGGTAAAGCAATTCAGTAACCCCATGCATTAAGAACTGAATATAAGAAAAACATCTAAAATTGGCTATGCTATCCTTTAACGACCCTCTCTATCCTTTTCTTTGTGAAACAGTGAAGAAGTAAACTCCTTTAAAGACTTTGTAARAACTTGAAAAATTCAAATTATTTTATTTTTGAAAACGCAATTATCCTGAGCGATGACAGTATCGATCTTTGAATTTAAAGCCAGTGGTTTGTGCATATTTTGAGTATCATATGCTCTCCACAAGATGGCAAATAATATTCAAAAACTGCTTTCTTTTTTAGCTTTCAGRAAAATTCTCACGCCCCAATCGAAATAAGTTCGCTTCCAGCTTGAAAACCGACTTTCAAAACGAGGAAGGCACACAAGACGTTATTGGAAGTTCACTTTTTTAGTTTGCTCTTCGGATAACTATCAGACTAAATCTACAAATATCTAGCTAAATTTACTCAAGGTCATTTTCAATTAGAAATATTTAAACTGTGTGCTCAACCTTTTTCGGGTGACTTTCAAAACTATTCGCATAGACCCCATGCAAAACTAAAACCGAAACGAAGTACAACCGTTTACTTCCTCGGTTGATGGAACGTGTATGTTTTCGCTGATTGAGAAAAATCAACAGATATTCGATTGATAGTAGTTTACTCTATCAGTGACAGTCTTGATGAAAAACTTTATCAGCAGTTTATTTGACTGTGGGAGCCGGACTTCACTTAATACCGACTAAGGCCAACTTCTAAAAAAAACACTCGTAAACAAACGATCGCATATAAGATAACAAGGTTGGCTTCTCTTGATGCGAATTTACAACCTCGTGCTTGGATCTTATATATTTAACGTTTATCTAAGAAAAAAAGAAGACAGATACCCGGAAAACATGAGAGAAAAAAGCCGAATGTCACTTTTTTGTGCCGATCCAATTATCAGTTTAGATAAGGCCGAAAATGTCGTAAATGTCGAAAACTTTAGCGAAAAAACAAACTCAACTGGTATCCACTTGAAGGAACGTTCGTGACGGATAATTTCGTTAAAAATATAATCAACAAGAGTTTGAGTCAGCAGTCTGCTTGCTTCTGTAAGGTTATCCTATTAAAACATATGTTTAACCTTGTTTATATCCACATATAAATATTGTATAACTAACAGTGGGAGAGCCTAACAGTAACCGCTTGCTTAGAGCAGTCGCCTTTAGAGACTAACCTGAGTTCAAAGAGTTGAAGACAGTTTTGATCGACCARAGTCCTCCGGATCTATAGCCTGTGGTTAACCCCGGTTCTTGTGAGATGTGACTTATATACCTTCGACTAATATCATCAAGGCTTTCTAGCTAATTTAAATGCGTCACCGTGCATACTTTTGTGCCATGTTGTCTTCCTGGTGCGAAACCAATCAACCAATCGYGTCGCAGAACCATATTTACCCACCCTATTTTCCGCTCTTTTGATTGGTTAAAAGCTTGTCGTATTAGGATGCAAAAGGAGTCGGTGTCTTTCCTTCAAGCCACCGCTGGCTGCTTTTGTCAATGTTTAGTTTCTAAGCTTACATATATATTATGAGCATTATCTGTGAAAACCTCCTTTTTCAACAAMCCTTTTCTTGGGTTGTTTATATTTGAGGAAATAACTTTGCATTTCACTTAGCAGGGTTCCCTTGAAAGTCACTTCCCTTCGCAATTTGAACGTCACAACTATGTTACGATTAGACACTGTTTAATGTGGTAATTTCGATATTCTTTCGTCAACCCAGGGCTGCGGTTTTCATTCGGTAACCGCACACACCACATTCCTGATGCCCGGTAGGAAAGCTTCAAAATTAGGAAACCAGTTGAGGTGTTTTTCTTTCATTTGGTTGYAATCCTGCCCATCTTTTGAATCTCTAATTAAATTCCGCGCACTTTCTTATCTTTTATTGTTAACAAGAAGAATGTATCTCCCAATCTAGATTGACGCTGGACTATAATTKAACTCAATCGCTATTTTTGATGTTTTTTTAAGTCACTGATTAAAATTTTCTTGGACGTTATGATTTTGATATTGCAGCGCGCATTAGATTGTCCCGATCAAAATAAAATTTTGTTAACCAAATACTACCATTGACTGTGATCGCTCATTGATAATGGTAGTTTAGGAGACACAAAGAGTTCGATACTATTTCATTAATCCTTTCATAACTTTTAAGTACGCTTGTCGATCCACTGGTAAAAAAAATAATGAGAAAAATAATAACTTCTATCAATATAATTTATTTTCTTTTGTGTACCGCTGTTGCTCATTGTTCATTATTTCCACATCGATTCCGATTCAAGAAAACCACAGCAAAAATTTCCGATTGAGAAAATTTTCAAACAATTATGTACTACGACCGAGTCAAAGATCCACGGTATTTTTAGAAGCTATTTGTAATTATGGCTTTTTGAACAGGCTTAAGAATTGTGCGTTTGTTTGTTCTTGCAAAACAAGTTTGTCTTAGTTTGAATGACAGTGTGTCAGCACAATCTGTCTGTACGTGTTTTAACTCGAGTTCAAAGACTCTTCCATCTWCCACGGTTTCCTGTTTTCTTCAAAGGAAAAAAAAAATGTTCTAAAATTTTATGCATCTTATCAAATAATGATAATGTGGTTGCTTCATTTGTCTTACTAATTTTTCTCATCTGTCAGTCCAAATTTCCAAACAAGAAGCTCAGTCCAATGATCCTTTAACTTTCTTTCTTCATGCAAATACGAAGCCATACAGAGTTTATTTCTATAACCCAAAAACTCAATGCAGACCATATGATCAGCATATATATCCCCCCTTCAGTTTCGTCGGATGAAAATTAGGGCGAAATTTCTTATATTTTATCGAAAACGAAAAAATTGTTTCATTGCTAAGATCGAAAACTGCAATCTTCAAACGAGACCGACATCATTTAGAAAGTTTAATTGACTTTATGTTAATTTATAGAAGATACAAGTTTGACTTTTAAAAGCTTAATCTGTCATAACATTGACCGAACTCAGTGGCTTTGAAATTAGATTTCATAACCTCATAGCTTAAAGACATTAATAATGGCTTAGCAAAATCATCGGTCACTTCACCTATAAACAAGGCAGTTCATTGATAGGTCGCAACTTGGGATCGAACGACAGTTAGAATGGATCAAAAGCCCTTGATGAAGGAATTTTTTATTGACAATAAATGCGTAAAACGTCAGTGAAAAGTGTTTTTTTTTTTCGAAAGCAAAAGAATTTTGCCAACCTATTTTGAGCGATAGCTTTAAGGTTCAGCTTGTAGAGGGTTAATGTTATGTCGGAGATTATGATATGTTCACTGAAGGGTTGTCTTCTGTCTTACGTTGATTCTAACTCAATGGTCTACAAATTAAACACACTGTTTGCACAGCCCATGGGAACAAGTCATTCACGAAAGGCACTACGATTCAGCCACGTATCAACCACTCATTTCTGAATAAAATTACCTTCCAGGAACAAAAGCTTTTCGTTTAACATCACTAAAATCGTACAAAATCATAAATAAGATTTATGTTTGAGAAATGTTCTTGGTTGATTTCTGTTCGGGGTTTGTGTTTGTCGAGTAAATCCTTAAGTCACCATAATTTTCAACACGACATCATTTACGTATATAAAGTAAGTTGACGCAAAGCTTTTGTTTGGACGAGGGCTAGACGAATGCATCGTTAGCACTGCAAATTGACTGTATGCAGAAGACTGTCGTTCTAGTTATGTTGATTTAACCCGCAAAAACTTTAACGGTTTGCGCCCAATTTTTCTGGTCCGATCAACTGGTTAATAAATAAAGAGATGATTTTGAGCATCTTAACATTAAGAGTTACACAGTAAGTGCATTCAAGTTAACTTGTTTAAAAAACTTCCTTAGAACTGTAAGATAGTACTGTTTCTAGTTCATTACAGTTKAATAATAGTTAGATTACTAACTATGCTTTAATTTGGAGCAATTTCCTGGAGTTTCATCGAGGTTAATGTCCGGACGGCATACAGAAACGCGTGCCTGAGAGGTAATCTTATCTTAAATCATGTCCGTTCGTGGACCAACCCGCTCCATGTCCTACCACGGAAGAAACAAGAGTTTTCCTTATCATATTGGCATGAGAATCAACATTACTGACAGTAAAAATCCTAACCTTTGGCTTTATCGGGGATTATCAAACACACAGTAGATAAAGTATTTTTTTAACATTAATGGCTAGCAAAATATCAAAAGGAGAAAAAAATTTAAAAAGGGCCAAAAAGCAAACAGATAGGAGAAAAAGATGCAAGAATGTCAGACTTAAACTGGGATTATCAGACACAATAGTATTTTACCCCGCATTACCTAAAATTAGATAACAAATATTATTAAAAAAAGAAAATAAGAAAACATAAGGGAAAAAATAGGAAAAACAAAACATGCATAAACGAAACAGAAACGAAGGAAGGGAATAAAAAAGAACAGCTAAATAAAAACTGAAAACACTAAGGAATAAAAAAAGAAGAAAAAGTAAGAAAGGGAGGAAAACGAGAACGAAAAAAGACAAGATAAGAAGAAAGGAAGAAAGAAGGAAAGGAAGGAAGAAAGAAAGAAAGGAAAGGAAAAAAGAAAGAAAGAAAGAAGGAAAGGAAGGAAGAAAGAAAGAAAGGAAAGGAAAAAAGAAAGAAAGAAAGAAAGAAAGGAAGAAAGGAGGAAAGGAAGAAAGGAAGAAAACAAACGAACCGATCGAAACAAACAGTGAATTAATAAGAGATGAAAGGTAAAACAGAAATAAAAACACGGCTGTATTTTCCCAACGCCTTTCTTTCAGGCATAATTTCATAATAGTAAATTCGATTCCTATTAAAAAAGTGAGTAAAGCGCACACCGAAGAAAGTTGTCAGTGTTGACTCAGCTGTAGAAAGTAGAAGTCCACCCACCTAGATGAGCTTGCTATTTGCTGATCATTTGAATACTAGGTCTAGATCTGCCGTAAACAGCTTTTAACTAAAAGCTTAAATTTGTTATGTTTAGTTAAGAAACCTGATGCTCTAAACCAGGGGGGACGAGGGGAACGAAAAAAAGTGAATTAAAATTTCTTAATGAGGCTGCATTTCTTTATTTTAATTTTTCATCTATTACTTGTTTTTCCCCAAGCTTTTTATCTTCCTTCCTTCTTCATTATTGGTCGCGATAGATAACGGTCAAGTTTAACCGTTAAACGGCTTGGTAAAAAACGTAATCAAACAGTTATCTGTGAATTGAACAGTTATCTATTCTAGAGCCCACGATATTTTAGGTCAGTTATCTCTGCGCGTGAAATTTCACTTTTTTTTTTTTTTTTGCTTGAGTTTTCGATATTAGATTCAGACAAGTATTTCCGGAGTGACAAAGATATTTTAGGTCAGTTATCYCTCCGCGGGAACTAAGTTTACGTGTTTTTTTTTAAGCTTTCGAGATCAGATTCATACAAGCATTTCTAGAGTGATAAAAAGTTATATCTCCACGTGAATTTTTACATTTTTTGCTCGAGTTTTCGAGATTTATATAAGTATTTCTGAAGTGACGAAGAAGAGTTTTATTGCTTTTACTTTCGCTTCTAGTGTTNTTTTTTTTTTTTTTTTTTTTTTTTTTCGTCAGTTTATTTCAAATTAATGAAATTTCGTAATTACTTGGGTTTGGTCATCTAAACAAACCAACCTGACATTTACTATTGTCTAAGTCTTGTTTGATTTTAGTTCACTATCTTTACTCACTTTTGCACACTGACCCGATTGATAATTAAAGTAAACAAGTTAGTTAAATATACATTAATAAGAATTGTATTTTTATTTCATATCAAAGCTAGTATCAAATCTTGTTGATACAGAAGTAGAAGAGAAAATTGCTTTTAAAACCCCAAATCCAATCAATTTGTAGACGGCTAAGTAACACGACCAGAAGTTCTCTACTTCTTTAAACTGAAAATATTTAACATCGTCAAACCTCTCTAACCGAGAAAAACGTTTTTGTTTTTCAAGTCTAATCGACTCAATAGATTAAACGTTAAACTGTTGAATCCCATATACAGATTAAACGATGGATTTAAAATTAAGTTTCACCTCGTTTAAAATATTGTTGGAAAATTAAAAGGAAAAAAAAAAAAAAGGAAATTGAGAGAGTAAAAAGAAAGAAGAAAAAGAGGGTCAGAAAAAGGAGAAGGAGAAGGAGAAAACGAAGAAAAACAGAAAGAAGCTAAAAGTCCTAACAAAGAATGTTTTACATCACTATTTTAAGGAAACACGCACATTGCTGAGCGGAGTAATAAAAGATGATTATGGGCTTAGCTATCTACAACATACGAGAATCTTTCTTAACCCTTAAAGATGTTGAACCATGAAGTTACGGA